TTGCCCCCTGCACTGTTGACTCCGCCTTTCCTTACAGTAAGTGCTCATTATGGGGGACCCGCTGCATTCGACGAAGTTTCCCAGATGCTGGCCTCCTACATTTCGTGGCTCTTCAAAGGAAGGACCCATAAACCTTTCATCGACTCTGTTTGCTCTAATGATTGCATTAAAGTCGCCGATGAGGAACGCTGACCTTAATTAGCATATTTTCAAGTTCTTCGTTAAAGTCATCAACTTTTTCACCTTTCGAAACCGCCGTTGGGACACGGGTTGAATATTTAGTACGAAGAAGCAACGCGATTCGAAAAGTATTCGCATCTTGCAGTGAGTTGCGTCCATTCTTTGTAAAAGAGAAATCTAACACCGCATTATAGCTGTTCGTTTCTTTTCGACTTTTGAGTCTTTGGTGTTTATTGACCATTTTCTTCTCACATCACACAAACAGAAATCCCGTGCTTGATATTTGCTAGCTCGTCGGATGATTGATGGATGCCGCCTTCTCCGTTTAACGCTGGAAAACTGGACATGCCAAGAAGAATAACTGTTCGTTTACAAAATAGCGATTTCTCGCCAGAGATTCTCAGCACAGCGTTTGCGGAACGAATGGCTTCAGACCGCCACCGCCGTAGTCTGAATCAGGCTACGCGTAGGGGACATATTTATTTGCACTTTCCATTTAAGCATATTTTAAAAATAGCATAAGTCAGCCTGAAATATGTAATAATTAAATAACACGAAAGGTAAGGTACAGTATGTCTTCCAACGACCTTTGTCGTTAGCATGCTATAAAGCACCCCATTTGTATGAACCGACGATGATCTTCGACTTCAGACTAACCACAGCCAAATGAGCGTGGTTGATATTCGCTAAATGGAAATATCGTACTGTATAACATCCTGAAGAAAAAGCGTTGTAGTAGAGGCAGAGCATGTTGCTTGAATCTGAACGAGCGACAGCCGATCGAACGGAATCGATTTCGCTGACATTTCTTAATACTGGACCACTTCCAACTATTGAATCAGCCGCTACAAAACTGTAATGAGCAAAGTTGCCGATCCACGTGATTTTCGTAGACTGTGAAACGACATTTGATTTGCTGATTCATGAAGCAGTCATTTGTGCGTCGGATGAGCGATGGATAAAAGAAGAATCTGTCTAAGTTCAACCATAAATATGCATACACAGAATGTAGCATTAGGATTCAGGTGTCTGAAGCTCAAGTTGGAATCATGGTGTCTAAGTGAGTTCTTCAAGAAGACACCACGTCGCCCAAGATGTCAGCCCGATGTCCTTAATCAGTATTATGCGAAATGAAATGGGACAAAGGATTTTCAATCAACGGCGAATGGGTCACTTGTTGCCTACTTACTGATGATATGGAAATGTTATGCATTTAAGCAAAAGAAGTTGAAGCAATGCTCTGTGAGCTTGAGTTTAAGAGTAGCAAGTTGGATTTTAGGAGGCAAACGAGTTCGCACAACCATCTACAGTTACCGTCAATCAACGGCTACCAAATAAACGAAGTTACGAACTCTGCATACGGTCAAATGGCTAATCGTCTTAGACCATTCCTTTCGTCCAAATTGTCTCAAACGTGTGGTACAAAAGAAGAAGCGCTGAAATTCTTTAAAACAAATTTTTTAATTGATATGCAAGTCACACTGTACGAATTCGCCGTATCGTCAACAGTTCTGAATGGTTGTGAGACTTGGGCATTAAAAAAGGGTGAAGAAGTGTTAAGAGTGCAGCAATGGCCTATGAAAAAAATGCGCAGAATTTCCATCAGAGAAAAGCTGCATGATGATGAAATAGCAAGACGCACGATGGTCAAGGACGTTGCATGACGTTCAGAGGACGAAAATGGTCGTGTCATACCACACGACTGACGCATGACCTCAACGAGGTGACGGACTGGTACCCTGGGGCTACAAACATCTGATTCGAAGGCCTCAACTCGTATAGGACAATGAGTGAAAAAGTTGATAAGAAGGCATGTGGCGATAAATTGACGAGCGTGGACATTGAATCTATGCAAATGATGATAATATCCTTTAATTACAAAGGAGAATCAATCAAGAATGCCAAGACCAACATCCTGAAAATCAGCTTCGTTAAATGCGTTGACAGATTTTGCAATATTGTGGTCATAATCATGCTAAAAACAATGGAAACAATACAAAGACTTCGCGATCCAGAATAATATATGTATTCATCGGTGATTATTTTGAAGATTGTCGTCCTTTGCGTGTCACGCTACTTTGCATGATTTCGAAAGGCCGTTTTTGGACTTACTGCGGCTTTCATCCGATGGTTTAAACACATTGTATCGTGGCTTGTATCGAAGTTTAGGAAACAGCTCCACTGAACCTTTCACCCATTCGTGTACAGAATTTTAATGTGAGCGTATCAGCATGTCCGTCTTAAATTATCTGCGGCTAATTTATGTGATGAGCAAAAAAGTATTTTAATTTTATCCTGACGATCAGCTCGTCTTTCTACTCTGTACGGATTTGCCATCAAAGTTAGATCTGTTAAACACTTGTTTTTGGCGAATCGAAATATTCAAACGTCGTCAGCAGACATCGAAAGTTGCAATTTCCTCTTACTCCCACGACCGGAAAATTTTCGACTGTCAACAGCAATGAAAATAACACAAATAAATAATTAAAACAAAACAGTAAACGAGACTGTTTAAGTGAGTTAACGCACAATGGTCACACGGTGAAAAAATTAGAATTTTTTTGTGTTTTGATATTTGCCAGTGTCACAGCAGAGTAAAATACGTCGATTCTTGAAGGTCGACAAGGACTATTTGGATTCTGCTTTCTAAACATAAGTTTAAAGGGAGATGGATAGAGACTCGGAAGACTCTCTAAGCCATATTGGAAAAATTGAAGAAAAAGAGGTGGTAGCAGGAGAGGAAAAAAGAGATAGAAGAACTTGCAGAAGAATGTTGAAGAACTCGACCGAATATCAGGAAAAGATTCTCAAGCGTTTAGAAATTGCTGTGCGAGGGTATTTTACAGCGACCTCACCAAGTTCTCACCCTCCTACTAATATAACGTTTGAGATTGATGGTAATGCTATCACACGCCCAGAATGATGCAAATACTCGATGTTAGAGGACCTCCTGATTCTATGAACGAAAGAATTAACAGTACTTTAAGTACTCAAATCAGAATAGTACACAAGCAGCTCCAAGAATATATCATTTAAACGAATAATGTCATAAGCTTATATCAGTGCCTGCCTCAGAACGTTGATGTAAATATATTATTTGACTCCATACTTAGCAACATCAACGGAACCTTTCAAGCTGCGAACCGTGGGATCAAAATAGCACATGCGTGCCTTAAACCTTTGATTTCACTCTTT